AGTTAAGTAGAAGACGCCATTCTGCCAAAGCCGACGGCACTATCATGGTCGGCGGAAACGGTCCCACATAACTTAAGCTTGGACGCCTCTAATAGGTTGAGACAAAAAAATGTCTATATATATAAAAAGCAGACGCCTTTGAAATGACGTAGACCAACATCCTCAACCGCCACCACAAACCCCACCCATCACTTCCCGGCAAAGTTTTAGTCATTTTCCATTTTCTTTTTCCTGATGGAAGACGACCCTTTTCTTGCTTCCCAAACAGGGCCCCAACTCCAACCCATTCCCGAAGACGACCCTTCCGATGTCTCCTCTTTCACCTCATCACCTGAAATCCAAGAATGCCACCCTCAGGTCGGATCTTCCATTTCCCACTTCAAGAAATCTGGTTCTCTTCATCGCTGCAGAACGGCTCCGGCCATGGTCATCATGGGGGACCCCAAGCCCAGATCCCCCCAAGTGCCTAAACCCCAGTCCGAATCAAGATTCATCATCAGGCAAGCTGTTTTTCTGCTTACCATTTACTTAGTACTTGGTGTGGTTATATATTCGTTTAATAGAGATAAATTCTCTGGAATTGAAACCCACCCCGCAGTCGATGCTCTGTACTTCTGTATAGTCACCATGTGTACAATAGGGTACGGCGATATTACCCCCTTGACGCCGGCGACCAAGATTTTCGCTTGTGTTTTTGTCTTGGTGGGTTTTGGGTTTATAGACATTTTGCTGAGTGGGGTTGTGAGTTATGTTCTTGATTTGCAAGAAAGCAGGATCTTGACCGGAATTCAGACGGGGAAAACACAAGGGGGATTTTCCGCTCGGGATTACATTGTCGATGTGGAAAAAGGGAGGATGAGGATAAGACTCAAGGTGGGGGTGGCACTTGGGGCTGTGGTGCTGTGTATTGCGGTGGGAGCTTCTGTTCTGTTCTTCGTGGAGGGGTTGGATTGGATCGACTCTGTTTATTTGTCGGTTATGTCGGTTACTACAGTTGGGTATGGGGACCGGGCCTTTCAGACCCTGCCTGGAAGGCTGTTTGCGGCTGCCTGGCTTCTGGTTTCGACACTTGCTGTGGCCAGGGCTTTTCTGTATTTGGCAGAGGCGAGGATTGACAAGAGCCACAGGACAATCGCTAAGTGGGTGTTGCAGAGAGAAATCACAGTTCAGGATTTGCTTGCTGCTGATATAAACAACAATGGTTTTATCAGGTTGGATTTTCAATCTCTCTAGCTTATTTGTTGCATAAAACAATTGAATTGTTGCTCAATTCTGGAACTTGGTAGTTTTCCTTTCTGAAATTGGATGAATTAGCCAAGAATTCAAGATTGTGGTTAATTATATATATGCCATTGAAGTTTAGTTTTTCTGCCTATTAAAGTTTAGTTTGTTGAACGTATGACCATACACCTAAGGGCAGCAGTGGTTAGATTTATGGGGACGTGTATGCAACTCATTTCCTAGGTTAGCTTGTATGGAATAAGGCCTAATTTTTCATTTTTTTCTTTGAAAACTTTGTTTCAGTAAATCAGAATATGTTGTTTACAAGCTGAAGGAGATGGGGAAAATTGGGGAAAAAGACATATTGCAGATCTGTAACCAGTTCAGTAAGCTGGACCCCAACAACTCTGGAAAGATAACGTTACTTGATCTGTTAGAAAATCGCTTGTGAGTTGTGACCATGAATGGAGACTAGTTGCTGGCATTCTTTCAATTAGCTAGATTAGCAAGATTCTATGATCTTATTCATGGGAGAAGGTGAATATAATTGTAAATGCACTGAACGTCAGTGTCCTCCTGCAATAAACCTTCCAGATTCATCGATGTTTCACACTCAGCAGAAGCTTATTACAGATAGAATGCAATGTCAAGACAGGCTTTTTCATGGGATGATACATTCATGTAGAAAAATTAAATCCTGAAACCTTACCACTCCTTCTGATGATCAGCTGTTGTAAAAAGAGAAAGGCAATCAGATGACTGCAATTCTTTGGAATTTTGAATTATAAAATTCTTCAGTCATCTATTGGCGATGTATTCCTTCAAAAATGCAATGGAAAAGTGTATATATTACTGAACAAAAGTTTGCTTGTTTGAATTTTGTTCTCATGTTTCTTCAATCGTATGCAATAATTGATCTATGCAGAATAGAAGGAAATGACAATGTTTAAGAGAATGAGAGGGAACGAGGAACATGATTAATTGAGCCTCGCTTCCGTCTTCTTTCTATTCTATTCATTCTGTAGCATACTGGCATCTAAGCAACAAGCTGATATTATCAACCCTGAAACACCAAGTTGGTGCATCCCCCCGAGTTTGGCCACCTAATAATACCACATTACTCCTCAGAACAAATAGACCAACAATTCCAGTATTGATTTTGGCGATGGCAATGCCTGCCAGCACCTAGGGATTTCGACTTAGGGATGATGGTATAGATTGAAAGTTTGGGATGTATTTTCTCAGGTCAGGTTTGGTTTGGTGGTTTAGGTCTGTTAGGCACATCATAGCTCCTATCAATGTAAATAAATAATAATAATAATAATAATAACAAAACTAATCTGTTGCTCTGGTTGCTCTGCCTTGATTTATGTTGAACAGAGTCAACAGACGATTGCATTTTTCACCAGAAGTAAACCATATAATAAGGCATTAATGGTCAAACATGCTGGAGAGCCGAAAAAAATTAATTTAAATATAGGAGAGTACTACCAAAAGGGTGTAGTACAGTTCTATTAATTCCAACCCAATAAAACATCCGGATTCTTGATTTTCCATTGTACTCCAAATTTGTCAGTACAAGGGGAGAACTTGATAGTACATTTTTGTACCAGAATCCCTTTTTAGTTTTGTAGCATAAATAGGTCATCCATGGACAGAGTTGGCACAGACCATGTTCCTGGTTTGGCTAAATGGTGCCATAGATGTTGTGGATTGGTCACTGAAGGAAGGTTGAGGTGTGGCAGCTAAATAGGTGTCATCAATAGACAGAGTTGGCACAGACCATGTTCCTGGTTTGGCTAAAAGGTGCCCTAGATGTTGTGGATTGGTCACCGAAGGAAGGGTGAGGTCATTGTGGTGATGAAAGTCAGAAAGTGTGTTGGGGTAAGTTTGTAGCTTGAAAAGGGAGAAAGGGAGTAACCAAAGAAAGAGACAGGGAACAGGCAGAGCATGGATGGAGATGCTAACAAATGCCCTGTTGCCCCTCTACCCCTGCACTGCCTCTTCCCTGGCTCTGTTTCTTCCTTCTTTCCTACTTCCCTCTTCTATTCCCATTTCTCTCTCAGTTTGGTTTCTTTTTAATTGATTCAATTCAGATTTCAGATTCATTCATTTACGGTATAAGGTACGCAGTTCCAAGTTACATGTAGCACCAAGTCCATGTGTTGTGTTTCTACCTTGTATTTACACTACCCTCTCATAAAAAATTAATCGCATATTTTCAAATTTTATTTTGTTGATTCTTAGTCTTAAAAATCAAGAATTATTGGTTGAGAGAGCAGAATTTTAGCAAGCAAGCAGATTTTCAGAATTCGAATACCATGATGCCCAGTGAATGAAAATGAATAGAATGACTAGTACAGTTATGATTCTGAGCAGCTTAACAGCCAAGTAAAAAAGAAACCAGAAATAAAATTCTAAAGCAAGACTAATTGGAGAAATATTTCCTTTTTGATGATTTCTGCTCCAAGTATAGGCTTCTTTTTCTCTAGAAACAGCTGATGCCATCTCTTTTCTCATGCCTTGCATTCTTCATACTCATGAAATCTAATGCCATGAATCCCGTTGGCCGCCAAGAAATCAATTTAAGTCCAACTGAACCTGTAATCTGTTAAATATCAAAAGGAATAAGCATCATTCAACCAATTACAGGCCTTGAAACAAACATAACATTAGATAGCGACAGTCAACAAAATAAAGCACCCTTTTAGATATTAACTTGGATCTCAAAACAAATAGAACTGAAAAAAGTAGAAGATTACATACTTGTTATCTTCATCACTCCAGCATACAGGTTGAGAGCAGTCCACCTTAATACAAGACTGAGGTTCTCCAAGTTTATGGTCCAGATTACCAGACTCTATTAACTTCAAATCCTCCAAAAGGATTACATAATGTTTCTGCACCTCCTCCGCACTCTTGTTCCCTCCAACCATGGCGGCAACCACCTCCCACCGATCTGGATGTTGATCATCAACCACTGCCAGAGCCAGCTCAAACAACTTGTTCTCCTCCCAGCTCCACCCACACAACACCTTGGGAAAATTCTCCATGTCTTGTACACCAATAAACAACACTTCCTCTATCCCTTTGATGAAACTAAGGAAGACCCAGTAATTGAGAGAGTCACATTCTAGGATTCATCGAAGAATAAGAAGCAAAAGGGAGAATCTTTTGGGATTGTTTGGTTGATTCTCCTCCCCTTGTCTTGGAGGGGGGTATCAGAGGTCTGAAATGAATAGAAAATCAATCTTCTTCTCCCTTCTGTTTTTAATTTATTGGGGAGTCTGTGTGTCAGAGAAAACACAACAGAATTCGGGATTCCCTCATTCCAGATCTAACCATAGGCAATCAAAATCTAAAATAATGGGTAAATTAGCATAGGAAAAAATAGTACTTATGATTTAAAAAAAAAAAAAAAAAAGTAGACAAAGACCCTATGCCTCATGAACCATTCATTCCAAAAACTTAGATTATGATTTAAAAAAAAAAAAAAAAATTCTAGGAGTGGATTCTAAATGGAAAAGAAACAAATTGAAGAGGAAAAAAACCATGGAAAAGAATCAAAAGAATTCATCTTTAAACCAACCCAAGATTTTTTCAGATCTTACTAAACTTTCTACCTTGCAAGTAAGGAAAAAGCCCCCAAGTATTTCTTTTTGCAATAAATTACTTTATTCCTGAATTAACAAGGGAAGGAGGGAAAAAAAAAGGTAAGGAGTAAGCAAACTCTAACTTGCCAACCAAACAAACCTTTCAAGTGAAAAAAGTGAGTTTCTCCTGACTTTTTAGTTTTTTCTGGCTATATGGTGGTTAGGAGAGAAGGGTGAGCAATACCCAAAAGCCAACCTTTAAATAAATTATCTTCTAGGGTAAGATTTTGATCGTTTGATGGATACGGTCACCTGTCTCCTTCAGTCCGGACAGCCCATAAGAATTTTGCCCAATATCTAAGGGCTTTACTTTATACCTTTCAAATTTTCCTCAATTATTATGCCAATGAAATCATCCACAAGTTTCATGTTTTTCACTGGTTTGTATTGTATCACTGTTCTTTTAATGGCAGTGCCGTCGTTAGAATATCTTTTATAATTATAATATGATATTAAATAAATATAAGATGATTTAAAATAAATAAATACATATAATATTATAAGTAATTTTTAAATAAAAAAATAATTATATAAGAATGCATCATATTATAAGTTTATAATAAAACATAAGAATGTATTATATTATAAGTTTATAATAAAATGTAATATTATAATTATAATATTTTCATACTCTTTAAGTTTTAGAGCCTCTTTAAGTTTTAGAGCCTATTTGGTTATAAGTGTTACTTTACCAGGAAAGTTTTACTGAGCAAATAGTTAGAAAAGTGTTATACATTTTTCTTGGAAAAATAGTTAGAAAAGTATTATACAAAAAGTTAAAAAGTATTGTATGCAAAGTTATTGAGTTTTGTAACAAAATTTTGTTATAATTTTGTTGGATTATTAATTTTATTTTATTTGATAGAAAAAATTAATATAAAAAAAGTTAATAAAAAAAGTTAGTAGAAAAAGTTGTTAAAATGAGTCATATATAAGTATAGTTGTAGGAAAACTTTTTTCTTGTAAAAAGTGTGGGGAAAAAACTTTATAAATTAAAAATTGTAATAGGAAAAATAAAAGTTAAAATGCTATTTTGACCTTTCTTTTGTTGTGATATTAATGTATAAAAATATATAAACAACTTTATAAAAAAATTTTAAAAATTGAACCTGGCCCTTCGGCCAAGTGGCTTTTGAGCCACCTTAAAAGTATAATCTCCCATCCCTTGGTGGGTTCGAAGTTCAAATCTCACTCTTGTCATTTTGTTAAAAAAAAATTAAAAATTAAAAAAAATATTCCTCTCAAATCAAAGGCAAAAAACCTAGTATTGGTTATTTACCTTATAGGTTTGTAAGTTTTAACCCCTTATCTTATATTATGATATTTTTAATTCCTTACCTATTAAAATTGAAAAAAATAACTCTCACTTTATAATATTTTGTTAGTTTTGTTAACTGACTGTTAATTCTATTAACTGAAAGTAAGTTTTTACCAATTAATAATCAGCTAATAGTCAACTAATAGAGTTAATAATCAGTTAACAAAACTATTCTGTTAGTTAACTGTCAATTCTATTAACTAAAAATAGATTTTTACTAACTAACTGTTAGTAAATAGTCAGTTAATAAAGTTAACATTCAACTAACAAAATATTATAAAGGAAGGTTATTTTTTTTAATTCTAATAAATGAGGAGTTAAAAACATTATCAAATAAAATAATGGATTAAAATTTATAAATTTAGTAAGATAAAGAGTTAAGAATATGCTTTTGCCCAAATCAAACACCCCTTGATCGTGTAATCTAAGTATAGGACTTATTAAATTATTATTAATAAATTAACATAAAAAGACAGATTCATTAAAAATATTTTAATAATTTAAATATCTAAATTACAATTTTAATTGAAAAATTTTTTTTTTTATCAAACATCTACATCTACTTGGTTTTCTAGGTCAACAAGAGTGAGCTTTGCGAGGAAAAGTGGGTACATTTTGAACACTATATCTGCACTGCCCCCACAGGCGTCCTGTCAAACTTCTTTTTTAACCTTACTTGTTTGGAGATAATTTATTCTGTAGAAGCAATCATAATTTTATCATCTTTGCTCTATTCTTTGAGATAAACAATCGTGGCTTTTTTGTCCACATGGATCCATGAATTATTAACTTTCCTTTAATGAAAGATGTAACGATTACTACATCTCAGCAACTTGTGATAGGGTCGGTGGATAAAGACCCAAATGTAAAGACAACAAATGAAGATTAAGATAAAAGGTGAGTATCTTAGTAAATAAGAATTTAAATTACTATCAAATGTATAAAAAAATAGAAGATAAAAGTGATTTTGCAATTTGCATTGCTACCGAGTAGAGGAAGGAAACCTTGATTGGTCCCTGGTGTCATTGATTAAGGCTGAAAGATACAATGGCATCCATTTCTTGCTGTAGAAAAAGGGGCTCCAATGAACACGTCTAGATTCTCTCCCTGCATCGCATCAATTATATAGCATGATGAGTGACACGTTCTTTGTGGAAAATTTTGAGTACGAATGCGTTCGGATTTCTCTCCACTACCGATTTGTTCAACGTGATGGGGTTAAAAATGGAGAAAAGTAAATGCACAAAACTATACAAGTCTCCATCTCATAATTAGTTACTTGAACTGGTCTGATCTAAGTTTTTAAAGATTGATCTGAATTCTAGACCTCACCATTTCATACAGCCTTGCACATATAGTAAACCTGTGCCTTGGCTTTGTTCTAGGGGCGAACTCAAAAGGAAAAGGCCAACATACGAGGGAGAAAGAAACAACAAAATATATATTGGATGCATGATGGGAAGGCCTAAAATGAATAGCAAGTTTTGTATACGGCAATAGGTACAAATTCTTCCTTGCAATTGTAAA